GTAAGATGTAAACTACTAACTATATGAGGTTAAAATAAATAAGATGTTTTACAGAGGTGTAAGTAACTTCTCAGAAAACTAACATAAGGAGTACTGATTTTTTTTTTTTAAAGATTTATTTATTTGTGCATACAGAACAGGGTACAGGCCAGAGGCTCTGGGGCGGTGAGAGGCTTTACCAGAGATAGAGTGGGGAGCAGAAGAGGCAGATCCACGAAGTACAATGCTGAGGGGAGCAGCAGGCTTGTCAGGATAGGTCTGCTGCTCCATGGGATCACCTCCAAGGCAGGCGGGAGTCAAACTCATGCAGAAGTGGCTTTAGCTTCTCAGTGCTGTGTTTTAACCCGCTGTGCCACCAGGGAGGGCCAGGAGTACTGAATTCTTAAAAAGGATACCAAAATGCATTCTCAAGAGGTAATTGTCAACCAGTTCTTGGGTGACAACAGTAACAAAATCAATCCTGACTGAGATAACAGCCAGCAGAAAAAAATCAAGACTTGATAAAAATATAGAAGTGCAGTAGTGAGAGGTTCCATATAGGAAACTAAACTACATGGCTAAATATGAGGTCACATCACACAGGCACATATACCAACTTGAAGAGTGTTGTAATTTTTCTCCCTCAAGGAAATGTGAAACCATTGAAAAAATTTTCCAGATTAAAATTCTTATGAAGATAAATCATATGGAAATTTCAAATACTGGCTGGAAAATTGAGAAATTATGAGCAAGGATAAAATTAGAGAGCTATAGAAACATCCAAAATCTTATACAAAAAATAAACTAGAACAATGAGAGTCATGAGACATTGGCCAAGGGCATGGCAGATGTAGAAGGAATTGAATCTGATATTTGTAAGAGAAGTGATAGTACTAGAAAATTAGAAAAGTGTTGGAAATATTGATCTAGAGGAAATGAAAAGATTATTGTTTAGAAAATTCCCCAACTAGCTTTATGGAATAATGGTTAGGACATTGAAAGTATGGAGAAAGAGTAATCAAAAGGCTATAATCCTGTTTTCCTATATTCTCTAGGGAAAACAATGTAGATTTGGATTATATGCATATATGTTAAAACACACAATGATAAATACTAAACTTCAGCATAAGAGTGGCTTAAATTAGTAAGTGTGCTCACAAAAGGTTTCTTGAAATATTTATATTGCTTTATATCTTTAATTGAAGTAAGGGTTAATGGAGGTGTTATTAATTCCATGGTTTATATGTAATAACAAATTTATACTGCTGCTCTGTGTATGTCAGCTCCCTGGTCAGGAATCGAACTCTTCCTGCAATGGCTGAAGATAGCTTCAAATTGCTAAGACTCAATCTCTTGTGCTTCCAGGGAGGCCCCAATGAAATATTTAATATAGACAAAGTTCCCTTGAGAAAGTTTTCCAAATTATGTTAGCAGTTTGCTTCGTAACATTTATCTTAACAAGAGAGAAGTGGTATCTGAGAAATAATTTTGAGTGATGTAATCATATCTGGCCTCAAAAAGTTTTACAAGTTAGGATCTTCACATATTTTGAAGTCATGACTGATTATGAGCTACAGTCTGTTTACCCCCAAGATGCTTCTAAAAGGTCTATTTAATAAGACAAAGAAAAATGAATGTCACAAATAATTTACAACCAGTCATCATTTGGTTAGATTAATCTGCATGTTAATCAATTTATTGGTTTATCTTCATCCCAATTTTAACTAATACCTCTCAGGAGTCAATTTCCTTCTTTCTGAACTATATCCTTTAACGTTCCTTTAATTTGGTGAGAATCTATTAGTGACATCCAGTATCTGAAAATATTTTTGCATAGTATTTGCTTTTGAAAGGTGTTTTTTTAATTATAAGAAAATTTACATAACATAAAATTCCCTGTGTTGATCATGTTTAAGTGTTCAGTTCATTCACTTTGCATAACTCTTGTCCAGAACTCCTTTCTTCATGCAGAAAGAACTGAAACACTATACCCATTCAACAACTCCCCATTTCCTTCTCCCAAATCTTTCCACCACCATTCTATTTTCAGTCTGAGTTTAACTACTTAGGTCCTTCATCTAAATGGTATTATATAGCATCTGTCTTTTCTGAATAACCTATTTTGCATGAGGTCTGAGTTGTGTCCTTGTGGTTGAAGTGTGTGATATTTACTAAGTAGCTTGTTATCAATGATATTTCGGCAAGTGGAGATATGATAAGGACATGTGGTTCACATAATTTCCTATATTTTGGGAAGCTTGGGACAATTCTCTAAATCTAAAACCACAATAATAAAGCTGGGAAGTTAGGTAATTGGTTAAAAATAGAGAGAAATAATGTTGAGAGGGGAGTTATAGTCAGATATAGAAAGCTTGTCTAAGGAATTTAAATATCACTTTCTGGGTGACTGGAATCTATTCAGTACATTGGGGAAAGCAAAGGTCAAGATCCAGAACTCTCTAGTTGCAGAGAGCATTGCAGCAACTAAGCGAATTGCTTCCAAGAGGACAAAACTGATTCCTCTTGCAATGAAAAAGGCAAAAATAAATTTGAGAGAGCATGAAAAATAGAATTGACCTAAACTAAATAAATAATAGCTTTAATTTGGGTATATTTTCTAATATAAGAGTATTCCCTGGGCCCTATCAGGAAAGAATAAACACTTTGATAAAGATGTATTTTAGAGTAAATATGTTATTTATTTTATTTTTCCAATATCAAAAATATGGTAGTGTAAAAATAAAATTGTATTAAATTCCTTGAAATAAGGTATTTCTTAATCTGCATAAATAACAAATAATCTAATGTATTTCAAAAAAGTCTAATGCCTTTTAACTATAATTCAATTCTCTTTATAAGAAAGTTTCTGAAACACACATTCACTTGGTGAATAAGAAAAAAATAAGCAACATGAACCCGAATTGCAGTACAGCAATTCTCAACAGTCAATGGATGCAGAGAATTAAGGAAATGAGGGATTAATAGCATTGTATGGCAAAGAAATATAAGAGATGGCAAGTATAGTTTTATGCAGTCCATTTATTTACTTATCTATCTATTGATTTATTTAGAATGGTAGTATGAGGACAACTGAAATTAAAATGAAATTTCAAATTCTGGGTTAGGAAGTTTACATTTAAAATTCACCAATTCACCAGTGATTTTTTTTCTTATGTACTAAAACATATTCCAACTGTTACAATTTTTTTTAAATAATATAATAGTTTATTTTTACTTTTACATCATTTTGTACTTTTTTTTCATGTCAATTGTAATCCCCATGGGTTTCCCATCACCAGGTAACCATAATCCAGCGCTCTTCCTTCCCTCACTGTTTTTGATTCCATTCCTCACTCCATCCCCATAAAATGTCTCTGGTATATAGCTGTTCATTATTATCATTATTTTCACTAGTAAATTAATGAAGAATCACTTGTACTGAGAGATGGTTGGTTTAGGAGAACCTGACACCCATGTGAAATAACTCTAAGAGCAAGTAATGATAAACTATTTACAAATAATAAAATAATGTTTGAACAGAAAAGTAGTTTAGTTTCCATTGAAATTTGAGGAGCAAATGTCACTGCATTTTATAATCAACAGGTCTTATTTTGTGCTTTAGTGTTTTTAACTACTTGGCAAAGTTTTACAAATCAGGGGTTTTTGTTTTCACATGAAATATACCTTTGTAGCTTTCATTTGTTAATGTAAGAAGGGAGGGTGTGGCAAGTCAAGTGGAGATAAGTAGCAGCTGCTCTGAGATTTTAGAGCCATAATGGATAAGAACCACTTGTTTGAAGCTGAAGCAGTCACACTTGGGAGGCAGGTAGAACTTGCAGAATGAGAGCCTCCTCTTCCCCAGATTACTGAATCAGAAGCTTCCTTTAACAGTATCCCAGTAAGAGAAACAGGTCAGTGTGCTAGAAAATATTATCTTGTGAAGTCAAAACCAAGATGGTCAAATGCCACAGGCAGGAAGCTAAGCTTGGTTGATAGATTAATATATATTTTTTAAGATTTATTTATTTATACATATAGAACTGGGGTACAGGCCAGAGGTACAGGGGCGGTGAGAGGATTTACCAGAGACAGAGTAGAGAGCAGAACAGGCAGATTGGCCTGTCAGGAGAGGTATGCAGTGCCCTGTGGATCAGCTCAGGGACTGGAATCAAACTCATCTGAAGTGACTTTACCTTCTTAGTGCTGTGCTTTAACCCACTGTGCCACCAGGGAGGGCCCTGATAGGTTAATAAATTTTTAAGAGATTTCCTTATCTCTGTCATTTGTAACACTTCTTGTGACTTTCATTAAAGTATTTAAATCTAGATTCAGTTTTTTAAAAGATGACTGATTGAATAATCAAGCAAAAGCATCCCAGATATTCATATTAGTCGTAATGAATCAAAACTTAATTAGACCTCAATAATTTATATAGAATCCATGCTGGAAGAATGTTAAAAAGATTGTAGTTGTTTATTTTTTGTTTGTTTGTTTGTTTTCTCATATCTCAGTCAATTTCTATTAATTACCTGCTTTGAAAGATGTTCAACTCTGATAATTCTTTTAGGAAAGTTGAATTGTTTTATTTCATTTCAGCAACAAACTGGCACTTAAAACATAAAATACCTATTTGTTGATGACTCACAAGTATTTTCTCCTAACTAAAAAGATGTGCTACCAAATGGAGAGGCTATTACTCTAGTTTGAATTTTGGTCACCGTAGCCCATAACACTGCTGCCTGTGTCTGCTCCTAAGTGTTTACTGGTGAATCATTGACTGTTAGTATAATTTCAGTGCTAATTGTTGCTTCAGGTTTTCAAATGGCTCAGCATTAAGACATTAATGATTATTCAGGATTTAAGAAGAGCTGATAAAGGGATGGGATTACAATCTCATACAATTTTAGCTAGCAAATTAAAGTGTAAATTAAATTTTCTCTGAGACAGAAAATAACTAACTTGGAAAGTCAAAATAATGAGAAACTTCATTCACTTTAATTTTCTTTTTTTCTGGTTTACAGATATTCAGAGTATCAGAGGGCTAGCAGTGGATTGGGTCTCACGGAATTTATACTGGATTAGCTCAGAACTTGATGAAACACAAATTAATGTGGCACGACTTGATGGCTCTTTGAAAACTTCAATTATCCACGGAATCGATAAGCCACAATGTCTTACAGCTCACCCAGTCAGGGGGTAAAGTATGATTATTTTTTAAAGTTTTTCAAAATTTCACCTATTCTGTAATTTTGTATGATAACACTGGTTCAGATGTCACTTCTGTCAGCTATATAATCAAAAATTTAAATGTAAACCTGGAAATTATAGGATAATTTGTTAGAGATTACAGTGACATAATCAAATTTTATATATTGTATGATGTGATTAATTTATGTTTCTAATGAATGACAGTTAATAATAAAGAATCAAGGAAAAGTCTTTGATTTCAGTTTGACTGCTAAATAATCTACTGCATTTTGATACAGTTACTGTCAAGTTCTTTAGGTTTTCCTAGTTTCTGACTAGCTATTATTTCCTCACATGGAGAGCTTGCACAGGATTAAAAGAATTTCTTTCTCCCTGCACTTTCAACAGGAATCATTGAAAGTTTTGCTTTCCTATGCAATATTTAATTTTTCCAAGTCAAGAGAATTCAATCTTGATAAATTATTAGAAATAATTCACTGTAAATAAAAGTATTCAGTTTTTAATGTAAGAGTAAGGAGTAAAAGGGAAATGAGATAGTTATCCTTCTATGACAGAAAAAAGGGAAGAAGTGTGATGTTTTCTTTCTACAAAAAATATATAGGTTACTACTAGCAAGTGCATCAAAAATTTGGTACCACCTCAGAAAAAATAATCCTGAGCTAATAATTTAACTTGATATGACTTTGATCTTCAGTGTTTCTTGTCACCAAGTATATCTACAGTTAACATTTCAATCTACATCTCTCTTGAATTAAGGAAGCTCTACTGGACAGATGGAAACACAATTAACATGGCGAACATGGATGGCAGTAATAGCAAGATTCTCTTTCAGAATCAGAAGGAGCCAGTCGGTAAGTTGGCAGATTTTTAATAGATAATGAGAAACTTATGCTAGGTACCTTTACTGTAGTTACTGAAAGAAAATATTAAAGATGAGTAATATAAATTAATAATCTAAATTAATAAGATAATAAAATTGTCTATCTTACCAAATCTATTGTGTCCACATGGGGCAAAATGAAATTTCTTTGTCCCCTCTGTTGGTGCAGAGGGTTAAGGCACAGCACTGAGCAGCTAAAGCCAGTTCAGCATGTGTTCAATCCCCACCTGCCCGGGAGGTGACCCACATGGTGCAGCAGACCTCTTCTGACCCACCTGCTGCTCCCCTCAGCAGTGTACTTCGTCAATCTGCCTCTTCTGCTACCCACTCTGTCTCGGATGAAGCCTCTCACCACCCCCAAACCTCTGGCCTATACCCCAGTTCTGTATGCATCAATAAATAAATCTTAAAAGAAAATATATTTTGATAAGAAAACAAACCTTTCAATAAGATAATTTTTATGGTAGATGAAGTACTCTAGTGGCTTCAAACTTGATGTAATTGATAACTATCTTATTTTTACTTGTGAATATCTGATCTGTTGCTACTGTGACAGTATAATTTATTGAGGTTTCCCTGGTAATAAGTATGTAGCCATTATTTACAGTTATAATGATTTGAGTTTAAGTTTTTAGTATTTTGTTTTAAGTGTTTTCATTTATTCTGCATAAACACATTATTCTGTGTTTAGCTTGTCTACATTTCTCAGCCACAGCAAATCCTCAGATAAAATACAATGGTGCTGAAAAGAGAGCACTCATTCCTATAAAATATACTTAATAATTTTAAGCACATCATATAGGAGATAATATATGTATATTTGCTTGTAAATAACCATATATTATTTTAATTGTAATCACTCTTTCCTCATATTTTATTTCTTTGAGCAATAACAATTATTGGCTTTTAGGTGTTTTCTTATAAAGGCTTTCAATAATTCCAACATTGAAATTGAATTTTGATATTAAGTTAATTGAGCAAATGATAGATTATACAAAATAAAATTGTAGTTTTTCTTTAAATTGAAAACAGTATATTTTTAAATACTATAGAAGGGGAAATCAATATGGCATGATGACTTACAGCATTTTTTCTTTGTTTTAGAAATGAGGATGAGTACTTACTTGATGTACCTCATGTTTAAAAGTAATGATTCTGTTATAAACTTTATTTTTTATGTGGTCTACATTGATACAAAATACTGTTATTAACATTTCTTTCCTTGGGACTGTTTATTCTAAGATTTGATACATTGCTGAAATTCAAGGTGGTGTTAGAAATTAAAGACAGATTGAAATTGCTAACACACCTATGTGGAAGATGATTTTTTAAAAATGTGCTTTAAAAGATTAAGACCCACTAGAAAGAAAAAAAAAAAAAAGACTGGACTAAACCAATTCAATTGTGCTTATCTGCAAATGTTCAGAATATTTAAGATGCAAAAGTGAGTATGATGGAAATGGCATGAACAAACTAGGGGCTTACAATATAATTTGATTGCCACAGGTTATACCAAAGTGTTAATTTATGTACTTGTTTCTGTAATGGAGAAAACCTTATCTTCTTTCATACCACATATTAATTTCCCTACTCAAAATAAAGGGGAAAAATGAAACTAGCAGCTAGCTTATATTTTCAAAGTTTATGAGAAGGGAATTTCTGTTATATTATACTTTATATTTAGTTCTATAGATATGTACCAAATGCTATTTTAAAATGTATACAGGTGGAGTCAGTATTGTATAACAGATATTTGATGGCCTTCACTTATTGTTATAAAAATATTAAATTTTTACTAATAAATACATACTGTATCACTAGGAATAATGCAGGACATCCTGACAAAATTTATTTTAGATCAGTATTATTGAGTATGAGCTCTGAGTTAGATATTAGTTTATTCAATAAGCAGATTTTGATTGTGATCAGATTACATGTTAGGACTAATGACAAAATTTAGCATTGTTCTTTTATTTAAAGAACACAGGATCCTCGGTCATTTTAGATTCCATTAACTAAATCTATCTCAGTAACCTTGAGCAGGTTAAGTTACTGTCTGCTTGCTGATGCTTATTTTAATCATCTGTACTATCAAAGCCAAATACCTATTTTACAAATTTCTCATAAGAATCATGAAGAAAACTTATGAGGAAAACATCTGTCCCTTAATAATCAACATTTAGGAGTAGAGTAATAAGAGTAAATAATTGGATCCAGTAGACTGGCATTTAAATGATTTGCTTGTCTCAGTATTAAGAATATAATAAGTACCACAAAGACTAAGCACAGAACAGAACCCATAGAAATCTAGCAGATGTATATGTTACCAAGTGGGCCACTGAGATAAGCAATCTTTATGTAAATGTGGGGATTTAATTTTACACTACTTGCTGTTATGTTCATAGACAAACAATTTTGAAGTATCCTCCCCTATGCTTTTATCATGCCAAAAGGCCAAGTAAGACCACTAGACCCTCATCCTGTTCTCACAGTGCTTTTGAAGAGTTTTTAAACAGTTGTTATAATTTCCTCCTGTAACTTTTCTCCTGTAGCTAACTAGCCATGGGTTGACTGTGTCAGCAACTCTAGAGACCATGTTCTCCATTTGTGAACAGGACAACTTATTTCACCTTTAAAAAAAAAAAAGATTTTATTTATGCATACAGAACTGGGGTATAGGCCAGAGGTACAGGGGTGGTGAGAGGATTCACCAGAGCTAGAGTAGGGAACAGAATAGGCAGATCGACAAAGTACACTGCTGAGGGGAGCAGCAGGTGAGTCAGAAGAGGTTTGCTGTGCCTTCTGGGCCACCTCTGGGGTGGGGATCAAACTCGTGTTGAAGTGGCTTTAAATTCTTAGTGCTGTGCTTTAACCCACTGAGCCATCCGGGATGGCCCTATTTCACCTTTTCTATGCACCAAATTGTGAAGTTCCTTGACAACTCCCCAGCCTGCTCTATTCCATCCCTCCGCTGCCCTAGATATCTGTATTTATGTACATAAAGAAAGAAAGTGAGCAGAAAGTCTTCCTTGCGTCTCTCTAGTGAGCAGTATTTTTATGATTTCTATATTGTTAGGTGACTAATGTTTCCTTTCATAACATTCACCTCCTTCAGTACTACTCCATATTGAATTAGTTTAGTTGTTCAAGGTGTGAAGTATAAGAGCAATTTGATTAAAACAGGCTGGAAGTAGGAATAGCTTATAACACATTTCATATTCATATAAAACATTCCCTGTGCTGTGTTTAGGTGAAAGCATGGTTCATACAAAGTTATTTGGGTAGTCAAACAATTCTGGATTTGAGTTTCCACTTTGATTTTTACTACCTTCAAAGATATATTTTACCGATTCAAATTTCAATTTCATTATCTATAAATTAAAGATAATATCAATTTGTGGGGAATATATTTTTTTTTAAGATTTTATTTATTCATACAGAAATGGGGTACAGGCCAGAGGTACAGGGGTGGTGAGAGGATTCACCAGAGACAGAGTGGGGAGCAGAACAGGCCAACTGATGAAGTGCACTGCTGAGGGGAGCAGTGGGCGGGTCAGGAGAGGTCTGGCGCGCCATGTGGTCACCTCCGGGGCAGGTGGGGATCGAACTCATGCGAAAGTGGCTTTAGATTCTCAGTGCTGCGCTTTAACCCGCTGCGCCACCAGGGAGGGCCCTTGTGGGGAATATTTTTAAAATTAAAGTCCCATATGCAGTATTTCTGTTCTACTAACTCCACATTATAGAAGTGTGTATGTATATGGATGTGTGTTTATATATATATATGCATATAAAAGCATATATATATGCTTTTTTCTCATTGAGTTGCACTGAGATATTGCACTGTAGGCAGTTAGGATGATTATTATTTTATGAGTAGCTTGTCTAGATTTTCTCTGGCTTTAAAAACAAAAAACCAAAAGACTGCCCATTACATTCCCTCAGTAATTTCCTTGAAGAAAAGTTAGGTGAGTAGACAGGGGAAAAAAAAAAAATACCAGTTGATTTTATCCTCATGATTATCCTCATGCATATTCACTGTCAAATTAGTATTTTTTTCCCCTAAAATGTGAGGAGAAAACGCAACATTCTGCCTTGTGAAACTGAAAAGTGTCAATCCTTAACAATGCTACCAGTATTCTGTGAACACACGATGAATGGGTACATTATGACCCCAAGCTGTTCAGGGGGGTACACACTACTCTAGCAGGATTCCAAACATCCAGAAGCACAAAAGCAAAAGGGAGAAGACTTTTAGTGTACAATATTTTCTAATAGAATTAATGGAGAGAGAGAATGAAGGAGTTAAAGTAACAGTTTTCCAATAAAATGCCCCAAAGTCCTCATCTCATAAAGGGCATGATTCTACCCCTACTTTCCAAATTAGCCCAAAGTAGGGACAGCAGGACTGAAAGTTTACCACAAGTCTGAGGTAATTCCTGGAAGGCAACCACAAGAAAGTGATTAAGTACCACCCAAAGTACTGAGATAAAAGTAAACAGTCAAAATTCAAAATATATCACATAATCCAAGAAGAAACAAATATAACAGCTGTCATTGCCTCTGCCAAGGACCAGCTGCAGCTGTCTCATATGTTTTCAACCTTACATTTACTTCAAGTATCTCTTCTAAGTGTCTCTACATGTTTCTCCTCCATGTTTCCTATCATGTGTCTCCCCTTCCAGCAGTGCCAGTCATTTGAGTCAAAACTGATAAAAACCAAAATAGCAAGAGCATGAATGTCTTCAATTATAAGACAAGTATGGATACTTAACCCCACTCCTAGTTCCTAGTAACTCCCATGCATGTTGGGAGTCTCCATACCTGAGATCTCTTTGGTGTGGAGGTTTGAGTGTGGAGGTGTGAGTGGAGTATGTACAAAATGTGAGGGAGTGGATCGTGCCTGTAACTTCACAATGAGGTCTCTGTATTTGCATGCACTAAGCCTGCATAACTGATACAGAGGAGCTCTAA